AATCATTTATTCCACTTTGGGAAAAGAGCTCTGCCAGAACATGGGAGGATGTGCATTATCTAACATCCTACCTAACACATGGCAGCTAGGAGCAACAAGCAGGAGGAGAATTACAATGCTTCTGCGTGTGAAACACTATGACTGAAAAGCAGTAGGGTGTAGATTTACCCCCCACCTCATTCTAAATGAAGCAGCAGTGTCAGGACCACAGTTGTCCAGGGTGCTCCCCAGAGACACGGGTCAGATTGTAGGAGGGATAAATGGCTTTGTGCAGACACCTCCCTGTCTCTCCAGCACAGGAGACAGAGCTACACTCCTCACCTGGGAGGAGCCCAGCTGCAGTGAGGGAGCAGCGTGGCAGAAACACTGCCTGAAGGGAAGATACTGGTGGTTGTTTCGGGCCACAGTTAAGGAAGGGGGAATCCTAAATGACTGGCTCGTGATTCCTCAGTTGCGGGGGACAGCCACAGCCAGCAGCAGTCAGCACATACAGCAGATCCTGTTATCTCAAGCCCAGAGGTGTGCTTGCAAGGAAGGTTGTGCCGGGACAGTCCCTATGAGATAAGAACTTCCTGTGATGCCAACTCTGAAGCTACACTGATTTACACTAGGATGAAAATAGCCCTTGGAGGTTTTACACTAGTGAAAGGTCATCCAAACTAGGGCATCAGGGCCAACATATATGGGAGCAGGCAAAATAGCAGCTTTTCTCCCTATGTGCTGGAGCTCTGCACTAAAGATAGACTCCTGAGCTATTTATTGGGACAATTGTGTGTCCCCTCTGCCTAGGAACAGGTTTAACTCTGAATGATGTCACCATTAGAATAGGTATTGGACAGGCCAAGACTGTATTGTGCTCACAGAGAATGTAAAATATCCCCTGCCTTCCATAAGCTTGCTCACAGTGTGTTCCCTGTTAACACTTTCTATGTAAACAGGCCAGATCTCCTCAAATCCCATGGGACCCCTCGGTGTCAGCAGAGCTTACATCCACGTGAGCTGCACAGATGGACAAGCTCAGTGCACCTCCTTGATGCCAATGTGAGCAAGGGAAAAGTCAGCTTTTACTTTCCCAACAGACGCCGCTTTCCCAGGGGATGGACACCCTGCAGGTACCCACTCCTTGCCCCTGGCCACAGAAAGCCATTGCTAGCGAAGAGGAGGGAGAGCAGAGAGGAGGCGGCTTCAAGGAGGATTTGGAAAAGCTTCAGTTATTGCAAGGCCAGTACCATGCTGAAGAGAAAAGGTGGGTGGCTCAGTGAATCTGGCATTGCCAGCAGTGCCAAGGTGACAAAGGGCATTTTCCTGGCTGTCAGCCTCCAGCCTGGCGGAGGCGGGTGTAGCTGCACGTTAAAGCAGTGGAGGTGAAAGTGTACATTGCTATGGACACATGTAGAAAGCCAGTCCCTGGAACATGATCAGTAGCTTCAGAGGTCTGAGGTACCCCCTGTGTGTTGGTGCACTTGACAGAGCTCACAGTCCTATTGCCTGACCCACACTCTCCTCTGCCCCTTCTTCCAAGAATGAGGTTTTGAAGTTCACAAACACAAAAGAGCACTTCTGTGATGTGCTTTAGCACCTAGTCATCCACTATGGTCAACATGCTGTTTTTAAAGTAGTTGGATCCAGCAAAGATCACGTTAAACTGTTCAAAATACACATTTCTTTCCCCAGTGAGAAAGGTGGCTTGTCCACTATGGATGTGTAGCCATCACATGGATAACCAACAGTAGCTGTGTGCCTCCCCTTCCTCCTGCTCTCCCTATGATCCTGCATGCACCTTCTGGTGATTGCACTGGCACACCTGTTTTGGCTAGACCCTGGGCTTGTTCTGGTAGGTCCCCACAGACACTTGTGCAGCCCAAGGGCAGAGGCAAAAAGCCATGAAATGGCAGGGTCATTGCATGGGGGCTCAGCAACCTGCCTGCCACAGAGCGTGCTTGTTCCCTGTTGCCTTGGTGGAGGAAGCACCTGGGCTGTAGAAACGAGATGTTTAACTACTGCCTGAGATCAAAACGAAGAACACCTTTGGAAACCTGGCAAGTACTAAGCAATGCCCGGGGCAGCTGGAGAAACAGAAGAGGATTTTGTGTTTTGTGCAGCACTGTGAGAAAAGGGAGCAACCTTCCTCCAGGGCTGGGAGACAAAGGCTCAAAGATTTGCATCCCAGTCTCGCAACTGGTGAGACACCTGCTTGTGTAAGAACAGGCTCCAGGAACGCCTTCCTGGGATGCCACCAGGAGTTGCTCTGAGGACAGGAGCAGGGACAGAGATGGGAATTGATCCCTTGGAACACTGAGCCTGGCCCAGGTTGCTGCAGGCAGGCATAGGGTACAGGCTCTTTGGAAACTAAACACACCTTATACTGAAAATTGGCAACATTTGCTGCTGTCTTCCTCTATGGGAAGCCTGCTTGGTCATGCCTCTGGTAGCTAGGAACTCGCCTCTAATTTCAGGACTCAGTCTGTTGATGGCCAATTTGCACTCAAACATTTTTGGGTCAGATTGCCCTTCAGGTTAAATAGTTTGTCTTTTTCCTTCCTGTCCCCCCACAGTGTTTATGGAGAGAAATTGCAAGCTCTGTCATCATTTGCTTTGCTGAAATTCTTCCCATGTCTTACAGGACAGGCTGTCCGATCCCCATAATTTTCTGTAATTTGGAATCCCCATAATTTGGACATCTCTTCATAGCACCAGTTCCAGTGCTTTCTGGAAAATGGAGCTAACTGGAACTGTATACAGTATTCCAGATGAAGTTTATCCAGTGCCTTTTCTACAAGGCTGTTAGCATAATTTCCACCTTTTTTTCTGTCCGTTTGTCACTACAGTGATTGATTCTATTTGTATAATTTTATCTCTCAGGGATTTCTGCCTGTGATACCCATAACTTACTGAGTGCTGGCAACACCCTCCAGCTTTCTGCTGTTGACAGATTTCATCACACATCAGTCGTGTTTCACAACACTCCTGTTGGGGTTTTGGGTTGGGTTTTTTTTGTGTGTTTGTTTTGGCTTGTTTTTTGGTGTTTTGTTTTTTTTTTTTTTAATTTTTGTATATCTATATATATATAGATATATAAACTGTCAGTAAAAATATCGAAAGCTTTAAGCCTGGTCCTTGTGGAACCCCCTCATTTTAGTACGAGACCTTTACGTGACTTATCTTTTTCCCATCAGGCAGTTCCTTGCCCCTTTACAATTTGCCTACTAATCTCCATCTTCTCCAGTTTGCCTTTTAGTCACTTAAGTAGTGGCACTGAATGAAATGTTTACTGGAGTGCAACAGGTGAAACCTACCATGCTTCCTCTGCCAAAGAGATTGAGTTATCACATCTAAGACAGATAATTGCTTATTTTGGCATGATCTGGTTTTGAAAGACCCATCTTGCATCTTATCCCACTTCCCAGCTACTCATTACATGCAATTTGTAATTATTCATTCCTCTAAATTCGCTCTAAAGGTCTCAGTATGCAGTTGGCAGATATCCGGTGAAGACATATTCCATACGGTTCCTCATAAATCAGATAGGGGATTTTTGTGTGACACATCTGAATAATATGCTATGCCTACTTGTGCTTTCATCAGCTTTTAACATGGTCTATTTTTACCTCTTCACTTATCAGTCAGGTGAGTGCTTGCTCCTGGCAGATTCACTGACCTTATTCAGGACCTTCCATGCAGGCTTTATGTGTTTTCATGCAGTTTATACCTCAGTTCTCAGGCTGTGGACTGTGAATGCTTTATACCTTCAGGCTGCCAGGAGAACGGGTTGTAAAATTTGCAAAGGGCTGCTTGGCTTGGCTGACTGTAGAATACAGAATTAGTGTTTGAAAGGGAGAGCAAACCAGCCAGGGTAGCTGCAGTGTTTCTCCTTGAAGTCACGCAGGTTCTTTGAGAGCTGCAGTGTTGCAGGAGCAACTCAGGGAGCACAGGAATTTGTTTTCAGCAGAGAGATGCTTTCCCTGCCAAGCTGGCAGCAGCTAGAGGTGAAGCCTTAATAGGGAAGCACTTTCATAGTCCCTGTGCTAGGAGGTGAGTCCTCCGCCAGTGACTGAGTGACAGAATAGTGACCTTCACCTTCCTTCACCTTCTGATCCCTTTCCACCTATTTATATTTAATTTTTCCTTTCCTTGTTTAGGGAACTCTTGTCATTTCAGAACTACAGAAATGTTCTTCACAGCGACCTTCACAAGCTTTCCAAACAGCTTTTCTTTATTCTCTATTTACCAAGATGCTGGATAGCAGTGAGCACATGTATGCCTGAGGATTTGCACATTGCAAGGGCAGAATTCCCAAGGTGAGAAAAACAAGTATTGTGTAACACTCAGGTTTCCAGCACAGCAAAGATAAGGTTTCCTTCAATCCTCAAGCTGCTTCCCACAACTGCTCTGAGGGTCATCACTGCAGCCTGCTCTGAGTTACAGGAGATTCTGTAGGAAGTTAATTTCTAGTTTTCATCCTGCATCAAGCCTGTGGTTCATGGTCCCAGCACCTAGGGACCGGTCTACCAGTTAGCTGATCCACTGTGTTTCATCCACCATTCTGGAGTGGACTGATTCCCTGAGGTTCAGCATCTAACTTAACAAACCCTAGCGTGGCACAGCCCAAGAGAAGAGTTAGAGGGGATGCTGACGACCAGCCTAGTGATAGTGTTTGTGCTTTTGCAAGTTAGCCTGCTGTTACAGGGTGTGTTCCCCAGTCATGTGAGGAAACACCAAAGAAAATAACTATTTGCAAGGGTGAAGGGGAGGTCAGCAAGATGAGCATTGCAATTATTTGCTAGAATGCCTCCCTTCCTCCTCCCCCCCCCCCCCCCCCCAACGTTCTTTCTATGCACAAGGATACATGCACTAATAAGCTGGGAAAAGATGGTCATGCTCCTGTGGATTTAGAAATATACCAAAACACTTTCTGCCTTTCAAATTCTATTTCAAATTCCCTGAAAACAGGCTAAAATTTCACTGCCATGGGTATTTATGGGACAATTAAGGCACAGTAATTAATGTTTTGGAGGGTGCTTTCTATTTGTACTTGAGATACTGCTGCCATCCATCCAGTCTAATCCACTTCTCACACTGTCAGGTACATAAGGCAGGTGTCTGTCATCACCTACCAGTTCTATCTCAGATCAGTCCCTTGAAGATGTTTAAGTTGCTGACTTGGTATGTTGCTTCTTTAGTCATTGTTGTGTTTCCTCTTGTTCCTCAGGGTCACCGTCTCTTCTTTCCTCTTCATGTTGAAACAGAGCGTGCTAAAGGACCTGGTTATCTGGCACTCTCAAAACATGGCCAAGGTCAATCTGTTTTCTCCACTGTACTGTTTGTACAGCTGTGGGTAATCATGCAGGCTCTGAAATCTCAGCATTCCTTTTGCTCCCTGGCTGCTTTATGATCACTGTCCCCTGCAGGCATCCGCACTGAAAGTACTTTGATTTCTGGGAAGTAGACATGTTCTTCCAAGACTTCAACTTGTACAGGTGTATGTGTAATGTGTTTTTAATAACAGTGGCTCAAAAGAGCTTACAGGGAAGCTTAGCATTGATGCTGATGACTCCCATATGGGATGTATTCTTGTAATGGAAACAAAGAAAAGATTCCACCCATTTTGATATCATGTTCTTGAACCAGTGAGCAGAGACGTGTATCATACATAGGCATCCTTACAAGCCTCCTGCTCCAAGCTTACCCTGTGCTGTCTATCACCCTTACATAGCCCATGGTAAAGTTATAAACCATTAATAAAGGCATTTAGTATTAAAAAGGCATTAGGATTAATGTTTCAGTTATTACAGTTTTCTAAATGAGTATTGATTCCTTGGGATTTGTTGACAGAAATAGATTTTCCTGGAGGACAGGAAAATAAAAACTTCATGCTGACTTTGTAAAGGTGAGGTTATAAAGGCATGTCAGACCTTTTACTAGTTTGCGCTCTAGGGCTATTGTACTGTGGCAGAACTATAACATGTTCAGTCTGTAATCAGCAGTTTTATTATGATTTCAGTTCTCCATCTCAAAGACACAGCATAGCAGTCAGGGATAGCAGTGCCAGAATTTTGGAGACACCTGGTCAAGTAACAGACTATGACCAGGTCACAGGGTTAGCATGTGTACAGTAGCTTTAGTGAGGAGGTTTTCAGTTTTACCAACCTCAGCATCTTCAAGGTCATTACCCATGACGCAAAATTACTAATACCTCTTGAAAAAGTCTTCTCCAGCTCATTTTCAATAGAGAAAGGTCTGTAGCACTACTGTACTTCATCTACTTGTCTTTAATTCTTTGGTTTGATGCAGCTCTGTATAGGAAGTAGCACATAAGGTCTGTTAGTGTGATGCCCAGACATTGTTCCTAGAGCACCTGGGTACAAAAAGGCAGAACTAACTCAGTATTAGCATTTAAACAAGGTGAAACCTGGTCAGTGCTGGTCACCATGACCCCATGGAGCAGAAAATAACTTGGATGAAACTAGCAGGTAGGTGTGGGAAGGTATAAAGCTATGTGGGAAGGTAGATGGAAGACTACCAACACACTCTGAAGCAAACACTTCTTCAACGCAATCTGTAATTGTTTCTTCCCTGCTCCTCACTACTTGTAATATGTAATATTAGCATAACTAATACCATTTTCTAAGGCAAACAGCCATTCTCTCTGACTGAGCTGGTCATGCATCAGACCCTTTCCCTTCCTCATCAGGCCTGGAAGGCCCTGTGCACCAGACAGATTTCTTCTCCCCTTCTACATCAGCCTCAAGTTTCCTAGGCTCCTTACCAGCCTTGAAGTTGTAAGTCCCAAGTGGGACTTGGTCCTCAATTTCTGCTGGACAGCAAAACCCATGACCCCCCCAGTGGTCAGGGATGTCTTCACTGTCACCTGCTTCCTCCAAAGACTGAGTGTGTGACTTGTATTCTTTTACATGTTTTGAGCCTACATTGTGATTGTACACTGATACTGCAAGGTAAGTTTTGAGTTTTGACCCTATCTGCAAAGGGTCCATGTGATTAGGAAGAGTAAGATAACCTGTGCTTCAAATGTTGTGCTCTACTATTTATAGAATTATTACTTTATAATAATAAACTGACCCTGACTATAAAAACCTTGTGCTGTTCTAGCCATAAAATTGTATGCTATGCTGGTCATAACATTCTGTTTAAAAATTAAAGCTTTAAGTGTAACCACAACTTAGTGCCATCGACATTCTGCCCAGGATCCCTGTAGTATTAGGTGACAAAACTCCTTTCACATAAAAATCTCTCCTGGCACAGCTGGGAATAAAGAATCTAGAAGTCCTATGCAAATACCTGGTGCAGGTGTAACTACTCTTGCAGCGGGGGAACGAGATTTATTTCAGTGTAAATATATCAAATATCTCATTTCCAATCTAATAAAACACATCAGATGACTCTTTAGCTCTGCATTGTGGAAGGGGTCTATTAAATGAAGAGGTCAACAACTGAGAAAGCCTGACAAAGTCAAAGAAGGTCCCCAAGACCAGCTGTACCATCAGAGTGCATGCTTAGGGGAGCACTTGCTAATCCTTTTTTTCCCATACTCACCATAGCCTCTACACGTGCACCAGCTGCTAATGTGAGCATTGCAGAAGCCAGAGGGTTTTGCACTGAAGCGTGTAGGAGGGATATGCATTTAGTTTGCTTCTTTATCCTGTAGAACAAGGGAAGCTTCTTGTTGGGGTTTGGAGTCTGTCACTGGGAGTGGTTAATATGAGGTGTGCATGATAGCTTATGCGAAGAAGGTACCCTTAACCTGTCATTTCTTGTGTGGGTGTGTTTTGCCCTTGAGCAACCTTAACTGCTTTTTAACAGAACTTTTTGGTGGGAATTGTTAGGAAAGCATTTCTCTAACTACCTGAGGCTTGCTGTGTTTTTTTTGGCCCTACCTATACCGCAGCATAAAATATTCTGTACATTGGGAATTCTCTAGGCCTGATAGTCATCTCAATGGCACCCAATTTAAACAGAATTATTCCTGGTTTACACTGGCACGAATGAGGGTTTTCCATATATAATGTAATATTTTGCCTCTCTCAGATGCAGACACAAACATCATTCTCAGACTCCTTCTTATAGAGAGTTAACTGCAGATGAATCAGATTAACTCTTTTGCCATTACCTCCAAACTGCAGCACTTAAGAAGGCTGAGAAGGTGAAGGAAAGTATGTATTTGGCACTGCTTATCCAGAGGGTACTGAGGGCTCAAGGTACTGAAGAGCATCTGAGACTCTTTAAGGTTGGTAGTCTTCAGATGAGAGACATAGGTATGTGTACAAAAAAAAGCACAAATCTGCTGTTATGCAATCAGATTTACCACTTTTGATGAGAACTGCATCTTCAAGCTCCATCACTTTTGTGGCTCCAATAGCTGAAGGAAATGTTTGGGGTTTGCTTTGTTTGCAGCTCTTACTCCATCAGCATCTTTTACTGAACTACAATAAACTATAACTTTAGCCTGTACCTTTTCTTTGTCCTGCCACTATGGCAAAAAAAAAAAACAAACAGGATTTTACTGAGCAGGCCAAACCAGAACAGCTGGAAATATGAAGGATCATATAACTTCAGTTATAATTTGCAAGGGGCTCAGAGAGATGCATGGAGAGACGAGGGAGAAAGGTTTGTCTCTGCACTTCACTTCTGCTGCATTAAGGGTGTTGGTGTTGATGTAGATCCAGAATAAAGATATTCTCACCTTGAATTCCTCCAAAGCAATTCTTTTATGTGGTTGCCTCAGTAAAATGAAATCTTTATAAAACAGCCAGCACACCCACCCAGACATAAGCCAGGCACTAACTGTTCATGGTTAGAAACAAACTTTCCCCATGGGTACATTATTCATAGCCAGTCACTTGCCAGTTTTCCCTTGGAAGACATAAACTAAACATTGGGAATAAAAGCAATGCATAGTTGGGTCTCTTTTTTTTTTTTTTCCCGAGCTGGATGTTGCAGCAAACCTGCAGATTCTCTCTGTCCTTCTCTTTTCCACGCACTCACTTATATGTCAGCTTAATCGATAGTGCATTCCCGAATTCTTCCCACTGATCCCCTCAAGGGCTGCACCATGGTGCATTAGCACTTGGGAGAATCCTGCCACTTCCAAGAGAAATCCCAAATTCAACCAGATAAAAAAACATTTGCAGCTTTCAGACATTATTCCAGGAAAAGAGGAAATCATCCTCCCAATCCATCCTGCCAAGACTAAAGGCATCTCGTTGTATGAGAAACATAACAGGTTGTTGTTATAACAACTAGAGACCAGCTGACCTCCCACTACCTTTTGTCAACCAGCTGCAAAACTCCTCAGTCATGAAACAGTCTCAAATTGAACATCTGAGCCCAGTTTATGCAATTCCCTTGTGATGGTTTCATAAGCTTTTGTCACTTCACTCAATTGTCTGTTGAAAGTATTCACAATTACACTGGCTAATGTGAAGGTTGTGGTATGACAGATAGCCCCATGGCTGAGCCCTCCATCTCCAAGGCAATCTCATAACCTTGCTCTAAGAGTACATATGAGATGAAACAAAAACCAAAAGGATACACAGAGATAATTTCAGCTCTAGCTATCCATAGTGCTATTGCTTTAGCAGAGACTTTAGGAGACATTCCCAGGCTGGTTATTTAAACACTGGATTGCATCACAAAGATAGCATTTGACTCTAAAGATATACAAGCCATATGAATATACTGCAAGCTCTGTCAGTAAGCCCAGAGATCTTAAACAGTTTCCAAAGAGCTACATTAAAAAGATTGAGGGCATAAAGATATGGTGATTTCATGGGTCTGAAAAATCACTTGGGCCCTACCTCTGTGCAACTTCATTAGCTGAAGCTGTAGGTGTTGAAGCAGCTTCACTATTGTGTTTCCTGAGTTGGATCCACCATGGCTCCTATGTCTGTCCTTCATGGAATATACATTAGACTTGGGCTTTGCCAGAGAAGCAAAGATTAATTTTCTGCTCCCTTGAGCATAATTTCAAGATGGTCTCTGCTGACAAAACTGCAGCAGAGCAAAAGCTTCACCGAAGAATATTGTGTAGGAGTGTTTATTAAAGTAGGTCATTGCCCAAAGCATCAGACTTCAGGGATAAAATTAATGAAGTTCCTACCTCCTGCAGTGGTTGTTTGGATATGGTTTGCCCACTCAGAAAGGCACAGATCATATCTGGTCTACCTACTCATGCTCTGTCCTCACAACCGTAAGTCTTAAAAAATCCTTCTTTTTTTTCCATATGGAAGCTAAGTTACTGACCTTGTCTTAGGATCTGAAGCACAGTCATATGCAACCCATATGCAACATCTCAGTGTGACCTTAAGTCTCTGTTGTCAGTTTGTTTGGGATTTTCCCCCCTACTAAATCCTTGCACTTCCTTTCTCTTACCATTTACTATCTCAAAAATGTTGCTGTTCCTCCTTCACACTTGTGCAGGTGCAGTTGCCATTCTCTTCAGGCATAAAGAAAATCTAACTGTGAAGGGGGAAAACTTTAATTATCAGCTAGAAAAAAGGGAAAGATATTGCAAATAACCTGTTGCCAAAGCAGTTTCACATTGATATATTTAAACTGATCGTCTTACGCATCTCAAGCAAGCTGCTGAGCATCTCTGAGCTCATGCAAAGTGTCACTGAGGCAAACAGAATTAAGTGGAAGACCAAAAATCCATTACCCACAATTTGCTGAAAATTCTTTACTGCTGGGAAACATTTAAATTTCACCAGTCTTTCCACTATCCTGCGACATACATGTAACCAAAACCACCCTGCTTTTTGTTTAAATAGCTGCTGAGAACAGGGAAATAGCACGGTTGGGGGGAAAAAAAGTGGGGCGGGGGGGGGGGAGGGGGGGTGGGGGGTGGAGGGACTGTTTCCAAAAGCAGTTTTGTACATCTTCTAAAACAAAAGGCCATGCTTAAACACATGCAGCAATAACACCGGTACAAATCACTTCACATTCTGATTTTGCTACGTGGAAAGCAGAAAGCTCCTGTACAGCTGGTAGGGCAGCAACTAAGCTGTTGCACAACTCGATATGCAGATCAGGCCTGGGGAAGTTCTGCCGGGATCCTCTTTGTACGCTGTTTTTCAAATGTGATTAACATCTGTTTTCTTAGATTAGGAAACTGGACAGAGGTTTTATGCTATGCTTCTGAATAACTGAGCACCACAGGACAGAGTCATGTGTTCTATGTATTTGGAAATACCAAGTTTTAGCAACTCCTGCTTGGTTGCCTAGACCATTTAAAGCTCACTGTCAAAGCTTTACTCCTCTACTATCTGACTTGAGCGATTTATTGTCCTCCTGAATCTGTTGACAGATTCACCTGGTATTCAAGTTTGCTAATAGCTGTATTTGTTTATGTGTTAAACACAAAGGCCTGAGCAAGAGATAGTGCCCCTGGCCTGTGAGAACTCCCGAAGGCTGGGCCCTGCTTAGGCTGGACTCTGAAGCATTCACATCTCACAGCTCGTCTTATCTGGTTTCTAGTAAGGTGCAAGTTCCACCCAAAATCTTTTCCCCAGTCAGGATGTTTATAATCACTCCTGGAGGCTCTTTCCCTCTGTCACACTGGAACGGCCAATTGACCAACAGATTAAAAAATTATTAAGGGTGGGGAGGAAGGACAGACACGCACACCCGCACACAAAGGCTGTGAGCGCTCCGCCTTTGTGCTCATATGAGCTTTGTTTCCTTGGGAATCCAGCTACTAAAACAGGCAACAGCTGTGACAAGAAATGAGATCTAGCAGCAGAGCAGCAACGGTTTTTGTTTGGGGATTTGCAGCACCCATCCCTTTTTTAAACACCTTAGAGGAACACATCAGGATGCTTGTTTAGGAAAGAAAAGCATGAATAATGCAGCAGGGCAAGCAGACTTTGTAGCTCATCACCAGAAGCACTGAAGTGTCATCAAGTACTCTCGGCAAGGAGGGTGCATCCATCTCCCTTGTGCTGAAGCTGTTCCCGAGCTGAAAGTCAAAACACTGCACTGCACCAGTTAACACAAAGGAAAAACATGACTGCTACTGCGGAACCCAGGACACCTGTGATGTCCCATATTAACACCCGCATTCAATCCCTACCAGAGGAAACAATTTTTACCAGGTCTGACAAAACACAGACTACCAATAACATGGGTTCAGGAATTGTCAGTCCCAAACCAGGTCAGATTAGCAACTCACAGTCCTCTCAGGCCCTGCAGGCCAGGGAACTCTGTTCTCCTGGGACAGCCACTGCCTCCCGTGTGGTAGCAGCTGCATCCGTCACCTCTCAGGTTTCTTTTCCAGGTATCAGGTGGCCCCTCTGTCATATCTTTAAGGTGTACAGTTAGTGTCTCCGATTCCCAGGACAGCATTCCCTCTAGCCTCCTTCAAACGATGTATCTCAGCTGGGCAGTGAGGGGAGCAACACAGTGCCTAGTACTGGCTGCTCTGTGCTGTTGGCGTGCTCCGATTCACCTGGTATGGAAGGAAAGCACCACGGTGCTGGTGTGCCAGGTTGAAAGGGGGGCAGCGGGAGACACAGCCTGACAGAGAAGGGAAGGGGACAAGACGGTCACTTTCTGCGGGTCAGGCCGAGGAAAGCAGACAAGACCAGCGCCGCCAGATGCATCTCTGCCCAGCGGCCGCGGTCCGGCAGCGCCGCCACCCCACCACAGCACTACATGTCCCGTCGTGCCGCGAGGTCGGGGGGCCCTACAGCGGCGTCTCAGACTAGCAGCCCATAGAGCCGCCTGCTCGAAAACACAGCCCTGCAGTCGGCGCTACCCCTCTTTCGCGGGTACCGACGCCCGATTTCACTCCCCGCGCCGCCGCAACTCCGCACTGCGCCTCCCACACCGCGAGCGACCGGCGGGCGTGCTCCGCCTCTGCGGCGTTTTTCCCTCGGGCACTTGAGCTAGCACCCCGCTGGGGCGTTGCTGCGAGGCCCTGCCGGCGCACGGGGCGGCAGCGGGTTGCCGGGGGTACGCGGCCTGGCTCGGCGGCGGCGGCAGCGGGATGAGCGGCAAGGAAGGTGACGGCGGCGGCGCGCGTGCCTCTTCTCCCTCACCCCCCGGCCCAGAGGCGGTTGGAGCCGGCGGCTCCTCGGTGCGTGGCGCAGCGCGGCCACGGCCCCCGCCGGACCGAGGCGAGTCCCGCGGTCCCCGGAGCCGCCTGTCCGGGGCCGCTGCCGCCGCCTGGCGCGCAGGAGAATGGGCGGGCGCTCGTCCCTCACTGCGTGCGGGCCGTGCGCCGCCTGTCGCCGCCGAGGGGCGGTCCACGGGCCGTTAGCTGCGCTGGGCCTAAGGGGCCTCTCAAGCGCCTTGAGCCGACAGTAGATAAGGCGTGAGGAGGAGGTGGTGAAAGTGGGGATGCTCTGCAGCTAGGAGGGGCGGAAGGATGAGCCTCTGCTGTGAGCAGTGGTTCTCTTCGGCTGTGTCACCAAACTCTGCCTTTACACCTAGGGAGGCGGTTTCTGCACAGGTGTTAGTGCCTTCCCACTTGGACTTACAGATGTGACCGTGAATGTAGTTTCAGAGTCATCCTTGATGGCAAAAAAGTGGTTGCTATAGCTAAAAGCTGTGTATTAGACCCGTATAGTACTTGTAACTACCGGCAACACGGCATTCACCTTGCAGCATGTGTGTTTGATTAGGCTAGGCAGTCACTCCCTCCCTTCAGCCACAAAGTAGGCCCTGCAACAAGGAAGCTGGCATTTTTACTTTAAAAAATCACGTCTTAAGTTGTTGCACTCTGTGTTTTTCTGGTACCCAAGCTGTCGAGTTACTCTGTAGAACCTCTTCTCTCTGTTTCTCCCACACACACTTCAGGAGGGCCTGTTTTTTCCTGTAGGTCATTATGATGTTCCCAACTTTCAGAATACTGCAGAGAGTTTTAATTCTCTGCACTATTTTGGGGGCTGTGTTTGTAATGTTTTCAACTGCTACAGGAAAAACAAAACCCTGAACTCATGTCCTAACCGAAAAGAAGGAAAAAATGATTTTCAGTTTCCTCTTTTAGAAAGTAACTACGCCCACTTCTGGCTTTGCTTTGGGATAATAAACAATTAAACGGAAGCATTTTAAAATCCAGTGTTCGTCTGTAACTTTTAAGTAGCTTCCTTTTGTTCTTCTTTTAAGGAAATTGAGAGCACTCCACATATTCCAGAAGGTATGCTTGTATGTAAGTTTGCCAAACTGTGGCCTCTGTTACGAACACAGTGTGTGGCTGTCGCAAAAAAAGTGGTAGCGAAGTGGGAGGAATGCGTAAAACACTGAATGGCACAGTGAGTCTATCCTAGGTGAAGGAAGAACAAAAGGAAGAAACAATACAAGGTGTAAATTGGTAGGAAAACGCAGTACAAGAGAGGTGAGCTCGGGGTGAGGGTTTGAAGAGGAAGCCTAAGGAAAAGGCATATAAAGCCTGTTGAAAGGAACAGCTATATCAGGGTGAAAAGAGAAGAAGCTAGTCAGTGGGCAGAATGTAAGATGCTACGCTGCAGGAGCTAAACCTGCATACCTGGCTAATGGTAGTTTACTTACTTTATGCCTTGCTGCTTTTTCTGATTACTGAAGACCTATGACACAAAATAATTACAGTATTGGAAACATTTCAGTGACTCTGGTCAAGCTGAATAGTTAAGATAACTAAAAAGGAAAAAAGAAAAAAAAAGGTCTAATCCTGTAGGCTTTTGCTCAGACAAGGGTTTCCATGCAGCTATCCCCTTACAGAAAGGAAACATGAAAGGTTGTGAAGATCTTGCCAAAAAAACAAAGGAAAATTTAAAAAAAAGGCACCTGGAATCCTACCATACTCATCCATTATAATTGGTAGGATTTTTTCTAATTTTCCCTAGGAATGTGGTAGAAGAAGTTAACATGAAGATGAGATGACATTGGTTGGTAATAAGATTCATCTAGTTTATCTTATGCCATCCTGTAAAATGTGGTTACAGTTGGGAATACTTTGAAGACAGTGTTCTGATGCTGCTTATGCTCTGGCAAAACTGTTTTATTTTTAAAATACATTTTTGGGTGTTCTATTAATAGGATCGGGTGGGTTCAGAAAACGAAAACATGACAATTTTCCACGCGGTCAAAAAAGAGAGGAAAAAGAGAATGTTACTCCATCTTCAGCTTTGATGACGTCTTTCAAATGTAAGTAGGCATTCAGAAAGCCACATTATAAAAATGTGGTGTAGAAATTGCTAGGAAATAACTAGTATTTAGTGATGGAATAAACCAGCATCTCTCGGGAGAAGCGTGAAACTGGTTGGATTTGTGCTTCACACATTTAGAGCTTGGCTTTTTGCTTCTTTTGCAGTAAAGTCCTGAGAAAGGGGTCTCACAGAGTTCCACCTGACTCATGATTTGCTTCCTTTTTCATCCTACCTGCTGTTCCCTGACCCTACTTGTGCTGAATGTGGTGCTAAGCAAACTGAGCAAGTGTTCAGCCAGACAACAGGTGATAGGGTCCTTTGGTGGCAGAAAACTAAGATCTGCAGAAGTGCAATGAAAAATCTGAGCCATGGGGACAAGAGGAGGAAATGGCTCCTGTTGGGGACACTGAGAAGGCTCTTAGCTGTTGACCTTGGCTCTGGTGCATAGATGACTTAAGCTACTTTAATGTAGGTCTGGACGCATTGGTTGGTGAATTGATAGCTGTACATACATGCACTTTTTAAAAATAAGAGTTCAGCTAAGTAATTATCGTGGTTTAAACTCAGTCAACCACGCAGCTGCTCTCTCACTCCCCCTCCTTCCTCCCCCCCCACTCCCAGAGGGATGGGGAGGAGAATTGAAAGAATGTAACTCCCACGGGTTGAGATAGGAACAGTCCAGTAACTAAGGTATAACACAAATCACTGCTGCTATCACCAGTAATAATAATGGTAAGGGAAGTAACAAGGGAAGAGAATACAACCGCTCGCCACCTGCCGACCAATACCCAGCCTGACCTGAGCAGTGATCTAGCCCTTCCGGGGAACTCCCCCAGTTTATATAGTGGGCATGATGTGCTGTGGTATGGAATACCTCTTTGGCTAGTTTGGGTCAGGTGTCCTGTCTCTGCTTCCTCCCGGCTTCCGCTCCTCCCTGGCAGAGCATGAGATTCAGAAAGTCCTTGGTCAGAGTAAACGTTACTGAGCAGTAACTAAAAACATCAGTGTTATCAGTGCTGTTCCCAGGCTGAAAGTCAAAACCACAGCACTGCACCAGCTACTAAGAAGGAGAAAAATGACTGCTACTGCTGAACCCAGGACACTAATGCAGACCTAGGTGTAAACACTTAGTTCAAATTGTGTGTGTTTATAAATTAGCTTGTATTTAAGTTTCTTTAAATAAGCAAGTGTAAACTTCCCTCCAACCAAACTGTTTTTATAGGGTTTTGCACAAAACCAGATTTAAACTCCAGTAAATTTAGTTGAAATTTCTCATTAGACAAGCCATAAGTAGGCAAAACTGAACTTCAGAAATAAGAAGTCTTGACAGAAGAAGGAAGGGAAGAGATTAGTTATTGGTGTAAAGTTTTCCCCATCCTGACTATTTTCTATGAAGCTAAGGAGAGTGAAGGAGTAAGAGTCGGATGGCTGTCCTAGATGGTCCCTTCAACATCATGTTAATTCCCTTGCTTTCTTTAAAACAGATATTTCTTCTTTTTCCTGTGTAAATCAGCTCGGCAGATCGTTAACTTTGACCCCTGAACTGTTATACTAGATAATGTACATACACTTGTGCTTGAATTGAGTAGAGCAACTGTACTTTAATTTTTCACCCTTAAGCATATTGATTTATCATAAGGTTGCCATTAGTTCAGATTCAAAACACTTGTTTCCCTCCTTTCACATGAGATCCAATCAGCAGCATTTGGCTCATTTCAGAAATGATGTAAGGGGCATGATATATTAATCTTTTCAGACATCCACTCTTTCTATTACAGTAGTGCTTCTAAGCCCCATGTGGAGACAATGGTGGTCTTTGTCTCCACGTCAGACATAAGATTTAAGAAGAGGTGTGTTCCAGGTGGCTTATATTTTAGCAAGCTGTGTAAGGTGATCTGGAGTGGCGGACTATTTCTGTGTATGTTGTTTGAATCTAAGCAACATAACGTGTGACATTAAATGGTTATATACATTTTGCTCTTTTTTTTATCTCCTTGGCAGAGTGTTGTACTTGAATTGACATAGTTACCTGTTGGCACCAAAGATGCCTAAAAAATTATTGAGAAATTGTCTTCTGTAATAATAATCAAAACCCAAGGAGTATTCAGTTACACCTTTTTTTGCATAATACATTTTAAATATGACAACTCGGTGACACAGAGGGTGGTTAGTATCTTCATTTGTAAGGTTAAGATTTACCAAGTGTCATTTTTGACGGTCTGAATCTGCATGACCAAAAGCAATAGAGTCTGAGTCTTTGCTTTCAGTGATAGAGTGAACATTAAAATGAAATGTGTGGAGGAAATGGCTGTGTGGCCTCAATGTATTAGCCTGGAGAATCCACTGAGTTCTAGTCCTTTCCAGTTTTAGGCAAGAGTACAGTATGCTTTCTTACATCCCTTTAGGCTAAAGATTACTATATTTGTCAGTGCTTTACTTCGGGTCACAAAACGATTCCTAGTAGTCCCTAAGAGGTTTAAAATCTAACATAAAAGTATAAAAGCCAAAGCTGTCCAGAAAAGATTGGGGTCATTGGTAATCTTGTAGATCCTCGGAATAGTGAATGTCCTGGTAGATGAAATTTGTAAATAGTTACTGCAGATCTCCTATATGGCATCCTACAAAGGAAAGTACCAGTCACCCTCCCTCAAGTTCTGCCACAATGATCTGAGGGGAAAATTTCTTCTTGATGACAATTCAGTGATGGACTTGACTCTCAGAATTTAGAAGAGAGATACTAATCAGACACATGAAAGACTTAAAAGATCAGTAGGAGCATTTGTGACTTGGAGTTTCGGAAGAAGATCGGGGAGTATAGAATAAAATAAGAGAAACTAAGTTTTTATTAAAGTGATGAGATACTGTTACTTCTGTAGCTTTATCTAAACTTTTATTGTCAGCAAACTGCTGTGCTTTTTCTAAAGGATACTCTCTTCTTAGACCCTTTAAAAATTCAACCTCTTAGCTCAGTTTCACCATCTTCTCATACAGACACTTTAACACCTCAGACAGTTATGCAAGAAATGTGTTAGATTTCTTCCAAGTATCTATTAATAGTTTATTTAGTGGAATAATTGTCTATAAAATGTTAGTGCTATCTGTGAAACATTCATGTTTGACTGTGATAACCAGATACACATACTCTGTTCTTTGTGTTCATTGTGGTTAGACAGAATTTACATCAGTAAGTCAGAAATCTTATTTTGATCTTGCTTTGCTTTAGTACCTTTAGAACCTTTAGTTCTTAGGGATATTAATGTATTTGACTTTTGGCCAGGTCTAGTTGGGATGTAAAATGCAACCTTTCTTTTACTAAATGGTGCATTTTAACAGTGCATGTGCCTTGGTCAAATGCCTTGTTTGTTTGGTTGGTTTTAAGGACTGATGAATCTTATTTACTAATGATTGTAGGATTCTATTTTTTAATTTATCTTTCTGCATTTGGGTGAAAATTTAAGTCAGTTTCCTGAGCAGCAGTATGCAGAATAGATTTACTAGCTAAAACAAGTATTTTACTCTAAAATTGTTTGGGCTGGCTTAAAGCATCATCAGGGTTGATGTGTATTTAAACCTGAATTATTCAGCAAAAGTAGTATTAACGCTGACTTTTGTAGCTCTGGGAGTGGTGGCTTCTGCAGCCATGCCACACACAGGAGCAGCCGCGCTGCCCATCCTGGGAAAAGGCAAGCAGGGGGAAAAGTGGTAAAGGCTGGTGGGCTGGGGCCTATAAGCGGTTACTGTAGCACAGGCTGTCTGCTCTTCCCCTGCACTATATACATGTGATAACCAGGCTTGTTCCTGTAATGGTTGCTTCTGCAGCATTTCAGCTGGAGCTTGACACCAGGCATGATAAATATGAACGGCTTGTGAAGCTCAGTCGTGACATAACTATTGAAAGCAAAAGAACAATATTTCTGCTCCACAGGTTTATCAGGTGAGTAGTATCGAGCATTAAAGTGTTCACAGAAACCTAGAAACTGCCTTGCAGTGTTCTCTGTATTTGTGATTAATAGCTGCACTGTTCTGTTGAGAGGAATTTAATTAACTTCCCATAAACATCCTTTTGGGTAGATGGGAGCTAGCGAATGCACACTCCAGTTAGAGAATGAAAGATGCAGGTTCAGGTTTCTCAGTTGGTTTTACTGATGTATTAAACAGGATCAGAGTAGTAGAGTGTAACAGCTTAAGAGACCTTTCCAGCTTTCAGCAAACTGGGAGAGAAGAGCATGTACCCTTCCTTCAGGTTAGTTGCCCCTGCAGCTACGTCACCATTTTGATTGCTGCAGCCCCACCCCAGGTCATCAATCCAAAGAGGAGATGACCTGGGTTCTGTTTACTTCAGTAAATACTGCAGCCTAAGAAGCTTTTGTGTGAAGTTTTGAGCTTCTGTATGTTTTGTGTTCTTATGAGCCTCCAAGCAGTCTTTGGAAGCCACAGACAAACTAGAAGAATAACAGGAAAATTTGAAGCTTTTCATAGCCTGCTGTATAAAATCCTTAACTCTATGTGTCAAACAGTGGTCTTACGTATTATAGCAGTTCTCTCCAATCCTTGTATTTCTAGTTATCTTTTCTTACTTATCAATGCATTCTGCTGTATTAGTAGCTATTTATAGTTACCATAGTAGTGACAGTTATAAATAGGTGTTATGAAGTTACCCTCTTTTTAATTTGGGCTTGTTCTCAAAGAGGCATTGTGACAATTCCAGTAAGTGCTACAACCTTGACTGTAAATAGCTACTCCCACTGCAGGGGCTAGGTAGCTGGGAACTGATAGAGGAAAGAAACATAAAAAACACTCCTCTTTACTCCGAATTCCAGGTTCCTGTTTTGTAAGATATTCCTGGTTTTGTGAGAGTGGAAGCTTTCTGTGCTGTATTTTTTTTTCCTTCTTTGCTTTTCACTATTATTGTGGCTTTACTTTCAGTAAACTTTACTGTTTGCTTTTAAAACTTTTCTTGGGACCAGTCTATCAGTAGTTCCTTAAACAGACTGTAAACTAATATACCATATAGATTATTTGGTGGGGAAGGGGAAGTTTAAAGAAAAGGAGATAAATTAAACTTTAAATGCCAAGTATATACTGTGAGTATGAATCAAATATTTCAGCTGATCCTGAACAGTATAGTCCATAATTACTTCCTAAAAAAAAAAAAAAAGTCACACATAGAAGTAGGTCAGGTATTATATTTTGCAATATGGTAGTGTATTGCAAAATGTTGATTTATTTTTTAAGATGTTGAAGGACTTCTGCAAATACTGCTGTTTTTCTGGAATACTTTTTTGAAGCCTTTGCACATGTTCCTCATTGTTCTTACTTAAGCAATAATTAAAATTCTCATCTGGAATAAGCATCATGCTACCAGAACTGTGTGGCTGGCTGATTATTTTCCTGTACATTCTTATGTACAGATTTTTGGCATATGCAGTAGGTATTAATGGAAGTTAAACTGTTCCTCATTCCAGTATCAGCTTTGCTTTTTCCTGAAGCCATTGAAAATGTATTGGTTAATAAAAGAAAACGTGTAATACTTTTTTTTAACTGTTTGCTCATTTTATGAAAGCTGCTCTTTCAGTTTAACTTTTCTGATTGCAGTGCTCCCAATGGGGAAGAAATATTAAATGAATCTGAAGTAAAACTAGATGCTGTCCGACGGAAGATTAAGCAGGTTGCACAAGAACTGATTGGAGAAGATGTGTATCAGTTCCACAGAGCTATATCTCCAGGTATATTATTTTAAAATAGGGAAAGTGTGCTATTTGGTACTAAGCTCAGTTTACCTTTATGTAGCAGTGGTTCCTCTTCATGCTGCAAGGTCTGAATATGTCACATTTCTATGCGTATAAATCAGGACTCAGATTAATCTTTGTTGTTAGCAAAATTGGCTTTGGTATTAGAGAGGCTATTGCCCTTCAGTCAGCTTATCATTGCAGTTAAAAAAGTTTTAAATTGGAGACTACATTTGGAGAAATTTGGACCCAGAATGGAACTGAAGTTGGGGGGAGTAGTTCTAACAAATGTACTGGCCATTCTCCTCTGAGTTAGGAGCATTTACCCCACCTGAAGGGTTATAGTGTCTGGGAGGAGAGTGGGAGTGACTATCTTGTGAAATGATTGCATCTTGAGTTGATAAAGTTCATGAATTAAAATCCTTAGATTAGCATTTTCTTCCTTCTGAAGACTCAGAATGTGCTTCTGCTTCTGTGTTGCAAGCATTAAATCTGAGTTTATACTGTTTCAATCACATCTTTTTCTGCTCCTCTCTGTAAATAGCAGTCTTTACTAACATCCTTCAGATACTAAATCCCAGTGCTTTCATGACTCTTGCTGTCAAATCATATTTCTTTGCTGAATCTTTGCTGACAATCTGAATCCTACCTAAAATTGTAATATCTTGTTTTCAGCAACATTTAAGTAAAATATGTAATTGCTTCTTTGACATCTTGTCCATGCATAAAAGTGTCTTTTGTTTATCAGTCTTATTTTAAACATATTGGACTCCTATATATCTTTCCTTGTTTAGGCAAGACTTCTTTAGCTGAGGAGACCTGAAGATTTGCACTGAATGATTTGTTTAAAAATGTCCGTAGGATTGATTTGATAAAGCAAATATATCTATGTAGTTTACAAGACAAACAGTGCCCAGGTTAACTTATGTTTTACACAAACGTAAGTTGGTTAAGAGTGAGACAGCTCTTAAATGAAAGCTTGTTTTGGGCACTTCTGAGCCAGAAGGAGCTTGCCCTGCTAGTCTTCATAGCTCTAATTCAGTTCCACAGTTCTCCTACCTGTGGTGCATTGGGTTGTTCAAATGAAATGCAAGTAGTTGCCCTTAAAGAGCCACTTAAACTCTCTGCATCTTGCTGCTATATATAGCTTAGTACTGTAATGAAGAAGTGAAAAGAAAGAGATAATTCAAAACTCTGATGCTGTTATGACCTCAAACCATGAGCAATCCTAGTCAGTGTATACTGTGAGTATCTTGACATGCTGAAAATGTGTTTTGATTTTCATTCTAAGTACTGGTTATAAAATCTGAACATCCTTGCATTTAGTGTTATGAACAAATATTTTTGAAAGCTTCGCTGAAACTTGTAAACCTTGTCTGAATAATCCCTAAAGTTTGTAGTCCTGTGCGAGTTGTATAATGCTATCTATAGAACAGCAGCATTTGACGTCTGCTATCCCGTGAATCTTGGTGAGACCTCATGATACAAGCTGTCAGCTTTGCCATGTGAGCAAAATTGTATGTGGTAACCGGTTACCCTGTATCAGCTGCTTCACCTGAGTTGTCTCCGTTTCCTTAGTACATGGCTTTGTGTGGGTAAATTCAAAGAGGCATACCTCATATTTTTGCTGAGGGCCAGCTTACCTGGAAATAGCTTGCATTCATCTCAGATGTAATAGACCGTGCCTGCCTACATAGCAGACATACAAAAACTTACTGTGCAGTAACTTCTGTGTGTACCCATGGCTTGTAAAGGAAGTGAGCAAACCTGATGCTAAGTTTCTACCTCCAGATTGTCCAGATTCCCTCCTCTGAGTTAAAAAATAAATTGCTGGGTTTGTTTTTTTTATTTTTTATTTTTTATTTTTTATTTTTGTTATAAATGTAACTTTTCAGGTTAGAAAATAATTTTTATATTAAAGATATGTAAACTGAAGCTAGCCAGAACAACCTAAGAATAAAGAAATTAATGAAAACATTTCCGTTCAGGTTTGCCTTGTGTGGTTGGTAAATATTCCTGCATAGTCAGCTACACTGACTCTCCTGTATAATCAATCTCTGACTTGCATGAAGATACCTGTAATATCAAAATGGACCTGAATAAACTCTTTAGAAAACAACTGAAAATATGCAGTCTGAAACAATTCAGCATTTCTAAAACTTTCCTTCAGGGTTTTAAATCTCTGCATCTTAAAATGACTAAAACGTTTTTGTCCATTGTAGAGCAGGCCAGGTTATTACAGACCTCTAGTATAGGAAGTTAGAGGCCTACTGCAGGTGTATGATGACTCAATGCCTCCACAGCTGCAAAGCTATTTAGAGTAGAACAGACTATTTCAGATGTAAGAGACCTACAGTGATCACATAGTCCAACTGACTCACCAGTTCAGGGCTGACAAAATTGAAGTGTGTTATTAAGGGCACTGTCCAAACGCTTCTTAAATGCTGACAAGTTGCGGCATTGATCATCTGTCAAGGAAGCCTGTCCCAGTGTTTGACCACCTTATCATTAAAGGAATGCTTCCTAATGACCAGTCTAAACCTCCCCTGGTACAGCTTTGAACCATTCCCTATCCAGTGTCCTATCACTGGATCCCAGGGAGAAGAGATCGGTACCTCCCTCTTCAATTGCCCTCCTCAGGAACCTGTAGAAACCAATGAGGTTGCCCCTCAGCCTACTCCTCTCCAAACTAGACAAGCCCAAAGTCCTTGGCAGCTGTTTACAGGACATTCCTTCCAGCCCTTCCACTGGCTTTGTTGCCCTCCTCTAGACCCATTCACGTCCTTCATAGCTGCATGCAGTTATATCCACAAGAGCACATCCCGAACAGTTGCATGAGGCTTGGAGCAAGATTGTCATAGAGTTTAAGAATTTTCTTACCACAGTCTTAAGGCAACTTAAGAGAGGGAATCTTATTGACCTTTCTAGATGAAAAGAAAGGAAAACAAAGAGGTATTAGTATATTAAGTAACAAGGAGAAAGAAGTAGACTGCTGCTCATCTTTCCAGAAGTTAGGGGTGGAGTGTCTCAAACAAATGCCTGAACTTTGTGGTTTTTTGGACAGAACTAAAAAGAAATATGCAGCCCCATTGCATTTCTAGAGTTAGAACTGGGAATAGCTGTACTTCTACCTTTTTCTTCTTTTCGGGTGATGTGAGTAGGTGGCAAGTCAGTGGAATATCATTGGTTATGTAATACTGCCTGGCTCTGAGATCTCCCCATTGTTTCTGTAATTAGGCAGTTCCCGCCTCATTTCAAAGACTGCGTGTAAAATCAAACTGAAATAAGATGCCTTCATCCCATTTCTGTAGGTCATACACAGTGTCTGCTTAAATTCTATCTCTTCTACATGATGCTCCTCTATTAAGGGAGTTTGTGCCATCTGATGTCCATTGTTTTGTAAGGGTATGTGTTAGAACGTAAGTGTGTGTCCCTGAGAATACACGGAATGCTTTTACACATTGTTTGAATGAGCTTGTGTGTGTGATAAGTATGAAATGTGAACTTTTAGCCAGAACTTTAATATTTGTTCATTAAATTCTCTGCTCTCCAGCATTGGGGTGGCAAAAAATAGGAATATGCAGGCTTAAAGACTTGCAGGTCTTGATCATACTGAAGCTGGGATCAAGGAGGTATGAGAGATGTGAAGATGCTTGATGTCAGGATTATGAAGCAGAGATAGAAAAACTAGAAACATGAAGAATGAGGGAACAGTTAGATAAAGAGCAACTGCAGGAGAGAATGCTTTATTCTCCCTGCCCCCCACATTTTAGGAAGAACTGTAATTGGAAGGGAAACAGTGGTAAGAGTTAAAGAATGTTTGGTTTAGTTTTGGTTTTAAGTCTAGTGTTCTTTCATTGTAGCTTTGCTTTTCTTGTAGTGGAAAAAAGCTTGTATGCCTTTTAGAAAATACATGTAGCTAGGAAAAGTGCTAGATCTTTTGTATGTTATGTATTTCCTAGAGCTGTAAGTTTTGAACTTCCTTTCACCTAGTTTTCAATTCTGATTTGGTATTTTAAAGAAATTCTGGAGAACTAGTTAAAAAAGTTTTTTTTTATGAGCAAAACCATGCCATTAAACTTTTTTTCCTCAAAAAAGAATAAAGAAACGCCTGTGTCCCATATCTCAAAAGCAGCATGTCCAATTAACCTCAAACTTCCTAAAAATGTTCTCCTTTGTCTTGAAACCAAACATGAAACATCCTCCTGTTCCCCACCCTGCCTCTCACAGAAAGAGTAAAAGGGATCAAAACTGGGCTTATAATGAAACCATCATAGCAGCTGTAACTGGGGAATCATGACTGTCTGCATAATAAAGCTGCCTAATACATATTTTATTCAGTATAATAACTATTAGCCTATAAATAGAAGAGTGCTATGAGTATAATGCTTGGGAATATTGTTTGCCACTTGTAATTGTTAAATGCTTTTTTTGGGGTTACTCCAAGCAGTTGTTCTTTTGACTTGAAGATAAAACAATTCTGGCAGAGCACTAAAGGAGTTTTCATGCTTTGCCTCATTAAGAATAGTGCTAATGGCACGCAGGACATTTCCCCAAAGGACACTTGCATGAGCTCAAACACTGAGTATAGCACTAATTGAACAACAACAAAAACTGATGACTGTTTTCTACACGTTTCTTAACAGTACAGATTGTCCCAGGGGATGATTAAACAAGCAAACAAAGAGATACTGAAATAATGAAGTCTTTTTTTAATGCAGAGCTCTTCATTTGTTATGTTAGAATGTTATGCTTTGTTGATATTTTTAAAGCTTTACTATTTGTAATATAGAATTCCTGCTCCTTTGCCCCACTTTGCAGTGTATACCTTATATATCCTGTGAGGAAATGTGTACTGTTCCTTTAAAATTGCTGTGAGACACTGTGCAAGAAAGGGACTGAAAAACATGGTATGAATTTATGAAGGGGAGGAAAAAAATGTTCATTATTTTATATATGTATATATGTGTGTTTGGGTATTTATATATGTATATTTA